TTATATGGAAATAAAAGCTTTTCATATTCCAGTGTGAAGTGTGGGGGAAAGGTGTTTCCCATGCGTGGTGAACTTCTCTTTTATGGAAAATGATACTGAAAAAAACTTAAGCCAGTTAATATTTTTCTTTAAGGTATTTACTGCTATTTTATGCCCTCAGAAAATTCTCAAAAACCTGCATCAGATTCCTTTTGCGTTTGTGTCCTATATAAGCTGAGTTTGGGTATTTTAACTTAAAAAAAAATCTTTTGAATAGTTTTTGATCTATAGGGCAGTGCTATTCTATTTTTAAACTCTGATTTTTTTTTAAGTGTTTGTGCGTCAGCATAGCTGTCTGTTTCCTTTTTTAAGGAATTCAAGAGCGATTGTTTATAAATCCTTGTTGAGTAGCTTATTGTTTCTTGTAGCTTTTTAAATGGCTGTATTAAAGGGAGAATTATCACGTAAACAGACATCCTGATGAACAGTGTTTCACTATGGTAGCTGGGGGAGGGGTATTCTTTACATAAATAACCCATTAGGTAATAAATATTTCATAAATATCATTGATCTTGCCAAATAAAATAATTGAGGGTTGATCAAAATAAGTACATTTGGGAAAAAAATTGAAATTATCACTTCAAACCTAAGTATGCTATATTCTGAGCATTAATGTAAGTACATTCTGAGTTCCCGCGTTTTGAAGAAGTGTGCAATAAAATATCAAAGAACAGTTTTAGAGTGAGGGAGACAGGCAGCTAGAAAACCAGCAGAAAATAGTAATTACAATTCATGTTTGAAGTAACCTGGACTTAGACCAGGGATTTGATGGTAGTTGGTAGGTATTTACCGTACTTTGCTGTGTATAATGCACTCCTGTGTATAGTGTACACCCCCATTTTTGGCCCAGACTTTCAGGAAAGAGATCTTTTAATTTTTTAGTTGAATATTTATTTATATTTAGATACTTATTTTTTGTATTATAAAGGAATTTTAGCATTTATGAACATATGGTATGAGAAATTTTATGTAACAAATTATTACAAAACAAAATAACAAATACAAGGTATTTTAGGTACTACCTCATGTATAATAAGCATGCTTACTTTTTTCCTCAAAAATCTGGGCAAAAATGTGTGCATTATACACAGCAAAATACTGGTATATAGAGGGATGCTGAGCTGCTAGTTAGCATGGTGGAAATTTTAATACAAGAATTGGAGTCAAATAGAAGAGAAAAACCACAGAAGAAGTTTTTGTCATTGCTTATATTGAAATCCATCAGGGGTTACTTTGAGAAAGAGGTTTTTAGCCCTGGCTGGTGTGGCTCAGTTTTTTGAGTTTTGTCCCACAAAATCATCGCACAGACCGAAAAGTCATGGGTTAGACTCCTGGTCAAGGCACATGCCTATGTGACGGGTTTGGCCCCTGTCCAGCACCTACAAAAGGTAACCTATCTCGATGTTTCTCTCTCATATCATGTCTCTCTCCTCCTCTTTCTACCTCCCTTCCCTTCTCTCTAAAAACGATAAGCATGTCCTCAGGGAAGGAGTTAAAAAAAGAAGTTTGTGGAATCACATCCACAAGCAAGTGATAAACGGAAAGAGTAGAATGTTGAAATAGTTGATTTCCAATTTTCTACACAAATATTTGTGCTTATATTTTGAAACCAAACCAGCCTGGCTTTTGTATTTTTATGCATTTGCCTTCCATCTGTCTCAAATATCATTTTATAATATAGGTAGATAACTGCTACTCACAACCAACAAAGGCAATATAAAACTTGACTTTTATCATTGCCTGATAAATGTAAGTAGGTCCTTTATTTTCTTACAAAATTATATAACCTGTCTTTATTAATGAGTATTTTTAAAACATCAAATTATCCTAGTTCTTTATATCATCAGTAAGATAAAGCTCTCCTGTGTAGTGGGATATGATATGTTACAATCACTGAATGGAGAAATCAATAGAAATGAAAATAGCTTCTAGAATATGGATCCTTTTTTTGCAAAATTTCAAATGCAGTTATGTCCTCTCATAAGTTTTTCATTCACTAAGAGTTTTTCACTGTGGTAGACTAAAAATAGAGTCTAAATGAATATAAGCCTGGGAATATATACAACCTTTAAAGAGATTTTTTTGAAAGTACTTAAACTTTTGCCAAATTCCTTGGTTTATTTTTAGCTTCTGCTGTTTTTTTTTTTCTTTTCGGCATGACTACTCTTGCTTCTAATCAAGCTAAAAACAACTTAAACTTGAATCACTTTAGAACTTGTACAACTGATGATTGTGGGAGTGTTTATTTCACCGCCAGCTTCAGAAACTCCTCTTCCGAATACAGTGTACAGGAAGGTACAGCTGCTACTTCCTAAAATCTGGAAGAAGACTTAACAAGAATTACAGAGTCACAATTAGACTGCTAATTTTTCAATGACTTTCTAGTGCTTTTACCCAAGATTAGCAGCTTATAGGTATATTCTGAATTAATCATTTGTATAAATTTCTATAGTGATTATATAATTTATGGATTCATTCTTTATATTTAGATCTCACAGCTGTGGAAACCTTAAGGGATCTTTTAATCCAGGGAGGTAATGTGATACAGTAGAAAAAAAGCACCAAATCAGGAATTATACAGCCTAGATTATGCTACCATCTCTGTTCTCTATTGTGTGACCCTAGATAAGTCTTAGTTCCTTCTCTCCTATGTAGAAGGGAAAAGTATCACTGGTCCTACTCACTTCACAGAATAAATGGAATAAATGATGAGCATGCTGTCTGAGAACCTTACAGAGCAGACATCAGGAACGGACGTGATCCCCTCTGACTGATGAGGCACAGAGGCACACCGTGATTTCTCAGCATCGTCATCAGTTACTAGTGTACTGAAATGGCCAGAGGTTTTGGTTGAAGATGAAAAGATTATTTTTAAAATAATATGCCTCTAAAAATAGCCAGTTTTTAAAAAATATTTTTAAATTCACTAAGAACTTTTACCCTGTTTTTCAACTTAAAAGTACCTTTAATATCCCACTTTTTAGCCTGACTTAGGTGGTATTTGAGAAGAAATGGATTTGGATGTGGGTTTTAGACTTGTAGCCTGAAATAAACTTTTCTTTAAAAAAAAAAAAGGGGGGGACAGATCACCCTAAATTTGGAACAGAACTCAGGGATACTTGGTGCACTTTGTACTAAAGGTCTGGGCTCTGTCTCCAACAGTGACAGCTCAGCATCTCTACAGTGGCCACTGCGTTTGCTTCCTAAACACATGATGTTTTGAGTAGCCTCACCTTACAAATAGATTTGCAGAACAGGAAGAAGATTCTTGAAAGGGAGGACTGTGATGAAATCGATATAAATCTCAGTTTTAAAATCTTGTACAGCCTTCTGTTTTAAAATCTTTTCTTCTGGTTGAGACATTAGTCTTTAACGTTTGAGGATCTCTGTAACTGAAGACAAACAATAAAATACGAACAGAGGAAATTACTAAAGGGTTGTATGTGTTTGAGTTACTTTTATCAGTAACCCACTCTAGCGAAAGAAGAGGGGTATTAAAACTGATGTAGTTTTGTTCTTAAATTTTTCTTTAACTTAAAAAAAGTACTATAATATTAAATTCATGGTTGTCTGATATTTATATCAATTCATTACTTTTATGACCACATATACCAATCAAATGGAAATAGATTTCTATGTTATGAAAAATGCAAAAATTAGCTTTTGGGGGGGGTTAATTGTTTTATTGTAAAGCTAACTTTAGGATGGTTCTTAATCAGACAGAATCCGCCTAAATACAAATTTCCCAAACAAATTATTTCTGATTCTTGCTAAATCCTATGCTAATAAAAGACACTGTACTTCTTATAAAGGGTCCACTTCCTATAGCCTAACAAAAGTAAAGGTACTTTCCCTCCTCCTTTTTAACAACTCTTAAAGCTAAATGTGAAGCTTGATAAAATTTGAGTTATAGAAGTGATTTTTTTTTTTTCCATTGTGGAGTACTGGCAGGCAGAGACTGCAATAGGCCAGGCGTGGGGAAGTGATCACACTCAGCCAACCATCTGTGTTACTTCACGGAGATATGAACGAAAAGTAGGTCCTCTGCTGGAAGGGGTTGGAGACACTTGCTCTTACGACTGAACTCTCATTGTGACTACTTAAAAGGAGTTAAAAGTGAATAGAACCAAATTAGCATATTCTGGCACATTTAATAGTTTTAATAACTCATGTATTTGAAAGCATCTCTTGGTAGTTTTTTTAAAAAAGACCTTTAACAAACTAATCTAGAAACTGTACTTAATCTACAGCATTATAAGATCCAATTTCTAGTTGTATGCTCTGTTAACATGATTGAAAGAAATCTAGGTAACAGATTCTAGATAAACTAGTCTGGATGTCAGGAAAGTCAATCGATTATTGCTGAGCCCTTTCTCTTTACAGAGATAACCCAACTGGTGATGCTCTGAGATCCAATTAGGAGGTGGGGTGCTTGCTTCCATGCTTGGCCTTTGCCTTTCCCTTTCTTCCCTTCACATCCCTGTGGCCAATGATGAGTAAAACATCAGCTAGTCAGAGTTGTGCAGAGGTCAAAAAAATAGGTTGATATAGAATTTTAGTATCCAGCCCTGGCTGGTGTGGCCTATGTGGATTGAGTGCCGGCCTGGAAACCAAAAAGTCACTGATTCTATTCCCAGTCAAGACACATGCCTGGGTTGTGGGCCAGGTCCCCAGTTAGGGGTGTACAAGAGGCAACCAATCGATGTATCTCTTGCACATTGATGTTTCTCTCCCTAAACGTGAATGAATAAATAAAATCTAAAATTTTAGTATCCATAGTTTTGCCACTAATTTAAGAAGCACTAAGTCTAGCAGTTCATTATAAAGTCCAAAGCATTCTATGTGGTCAAAACATTCTGGGACTTTTAAAATTGACTATTTGATCTCTTTTGAAAATGTAAATACTAGTTTAATCATTCTGAATCAAAGATTTTAATAAGTTTTTTCCTTTTTCTTCTTAGATCCCAATTTTGTTCGGACATTTCTTACAACATACAGATCCTTTTGTAAACCTCAAGAACTACTGAGTCTTATAATAGAAAGGTCTGTTAATTTTAAATGTTTAAATTCTTTTTTTTAGAGATTGAGCTAAGATCTTATATTATTCTTGGAAATATATTAAATGAGCTTTACACTGTAGTTCATGAACACTTTTTTAAGAAATAAAATCTCTTAGAAGGTCATTTATGTTAGCTTTGATTATTTAAATACAAAAATAGACATTCTTTTTTACATGGAAACTCAGTATGTGAAACTTCAAATTTATGAATTAATCTAGCTAAAGAACTACATCAAATGTATAATTTACACTCAGGAAATGCAAATTTTGATGGTTTAGATGTTCTAAACAGAATTTTTTCAAATGTGCCACAAGTTGAGGAAAATGGAGCTTATCAGTGAAGAAATACTGTGATCAAGAAAAGCGTTTCATCCACCCAAAGAGCAGTCAACCTTTCAAGCTTTACCCTTAAAAAATATTACATTAGTTGATTTATAGTAATTACACAAGCCAAAAATGAACATTGGTTCAATAACTTTATAATCACATTTATTTTAGACTTGGCTGGTATTCCTTACTGTGTTTTAGTTAGCTTTCTCTATAAGATCATTAACCTTTACATTATAGAAGCCTTGTTTTCACTGATGTGTCTACCCTTAGTAATTTTTTTCAGAGCTCTCTTGATTGTGCTGACTAGTAAAAAGGTTTGTAGTTTCCTATTTGTATAATTTGATATGATTAATATTTTCATTACTTTATTCTGCTTTATGTTAGGTTTGAAATTCCAGAGCCTGAGCCAACAGAAGCTGATCGCATAGCTATAGAGAATGGAGATCAACCCTTGAGTGCAGAACTAAAAAGATTTAGAAAAGAATATATTCAGCCTGTACAACTGCGGTAAGCATTAAATAAGTTACTGAAGTAGATAGGTATTGAACTTTTGTTTCGGAGTTGAAACAAAGCTGGGAGGAGATAACATGTAAAGTGAGTGACAAGCAATTATCAAAAGTTATTGTATAAGTCTTAATTAACATGGAATTTTGAAAGTGGTAAGCCACTAATAAGATTATTTAATTTGGTGACAGTTACTATTTTCATTTATACCATTCACTGTGATAAGCATTTATGTCTGAGTCCCATGTAATTCAATTCTTCTTCTGTGTGAATGCCAGAGTATTAAATGTCTGTCGGCACTGGGTAGAGCACCACTTCTATGACTTTGAAAGAGATACAGATCTTTTGCGGCGAATGGAGGAGTTTATTGGAACAGTAAGAGGTATGGTTTTTTTTTTTAAGTGCCTAGTTTTATGTGTAATAAAAGTGTCTGTGCGGTGACAATCAATTGCTGTCCTTACTGCTCATTGCTGTTAAGAGGCGTATGTAGTAGTGCCAGCATAACAGTTTGAAAAATTTAAAAATTTTCATCAAACAACATTTTTGATCTACAGATTGCTCAGTAATCACCCTGTCGAACCAATATATTTTTATTTAGTAAATCAACTTGCTGGTTATTTCTGGAATTGGATAGAAAAAGTCTCAGTTTGTGCTGTCTTTACACTTAACTGAAAGTGTGTGTACAAAGGAAAAAATTAGGAATTACTGTGCCATTGTAACACTGCTGATGAAGTTAGTGAGCCACAGGTGAATAGTGCTTACATCAGAGAGTCAGCAGAGTGCAGTGAATGAAGAGCTGAATAAGAGTTTTATTCCTAACACTGCCAATCATTAGATACATGACTTTGGGCAAAATTACTTTGATTCTTTACACTTAACATTTCCTCATCAGTAACATGAGGACCTAAGTTTAATGATCTCCAAAGTTTCTCTTCTAGTTTTAAAGATTCTATGATTGTATAGGTATAAGTATGTCTTAGGTATACTTGTCTACATTTCCATTGTACATACTAAATGAGAATCAGAGAATAAAGTGTTCAGTACCCATACTTTTATGCATAGTACAAAACAAAGCTGCATCAAAAACGCATATTTAAAGGAAGGACTCAGTCCTCTGGCTCTGTTTTATAAAAATGCAATGTTGATTATATTAACAGTAGATGTGCATAGTCTATCCTTGTAAATCTCATTTGTGTAAGATAAATCTTTTTTTGGAGGATTATAAAATATTTTGCACTGAAGTTGAGAACAATAGAGGTAAAAAAATCCCCACAAATAAATTACTTTCTAATTTTATTTTAAAAGGAAGTGGAAGAATATAAACCAAATTATTAACAGTGGTTATTATCCATGTGAAGAAGAGTGAGATTGGTATAGGGTACAGAGAAATGATAAAGGGGAACTTCCATTTTTAAAATTTTGATCATCTGAACTTTTTATAGTAAAGATATATGCAGGTATCACTTGTATGATTTTTATAATATTTTAAAAAATAAAATATTGAGTAAAAAGTATTTAAATGTTATTTAAACTGTATTTCAGGTAAAGCAATGAGAAAATGGGTTGAATCCATCACTAAAATAATCCAAAGGAAAAAAATGGCACGAGACAGTGGACCAGGTCATAACATTACATTTCAGAGTTCCCCTCCCACAGTTGAGTGGCATATAAGCAGACCTGGGCACATAGAGACTTTTGACCTTCTCACCTTACACCCAATAGAAATTGCTCGGCAACTCACTTTACTTGAATCAGATCTATACCGGTATGTAATTTGACATTCAAGCTGAAAAATCACTTTAAAGGAGTTAGTTTTTTAAATGAAATACTGGTTTCTGCCTTATAAGATTGTTGTAAGACATAAATGAGAGAGGATGTGAAGTGTCTGGTGTACAGAAGGCTCCTCTTTTACTCCCTGACCCCTCTTGCTTTGTGTGAATTTAGTTTCTCTCCGTCTGCAGTCACCCCTGGTTGGTAAAGCTAAGTTCAGGTCCTGGCTTTACTGTTTGCTGGCTTGCTGTTCTAGAGCAACTTTTACCTTCTTTTGTAACTTTCTCCCTCTGCCTGTTAAGTTTCCTCAAGAGTAAAATGGAGCTAGCGATATTACTTACTCCTAAGGCTGTTGTGAGGTTTAAAATAGTCAATATATGTACAGTGCCTAGCACAAATAAGGGCTCAATAAGTTAGCTACTGCTGTTATTACATTACAAATTTAAATCATGGCCAGTTACAGCCTTTTTAGTTTTTCTACATATGAATAACTTACTGTCTCAAGAAATGTCTGTTTCTAGTTTTAAATGGGGGCTTTTTAGAGATTCAGGCTATTTTTAATAACTAAATGGAAAAAGGAACTAAATTTATAGATATCCTCCCACCAAAGATCACCACTATTGTCAAAAATCAGTGTTAGAATCTATTTTATTTATTTCCCAGGACCGTTTTGTGGTTGGGTTACCCCTCTTCCTTTAGAGGAAAAAAAATGTATGAATTGCAGTGATTACCACAACCACATTGAGTTGATTATTATAACAGATGTATCATTATTTAAAAGAACTATCCCAAACTACTTTGTCCCTTAATTTGTTAAATAATATTTGTAAGTGCTGGGAAAGATATTATGAAGAAATCCAAACCTTGCTCAAAATAAAATTCTACTATAAAGCAATAATAAAAGTACACAGGTACATGCATAAAATATTTTTAATCTATAGAAAAAGATGCATAGTTATAATTTTTTATTAAACCTTGTCATAAATCTTGCTGTTGGTATAAGAGGAAAGTTTATATGAGCATTTAACTTTATCTATCTCATTTACTTAATAAAACGGTACACTAGAGGGAAAGGTGTCATGTAGAATTATATCTTGATGATTTTAGAGCTGTACAGCCATCAGAATTAGTTGGAAGTGTGTGGACAAAAGAAGACAAAGAAATTAATTCTCCTAATCTTCTGAAAATGATCCGGCACACCACTAATCTCACTCTGTGGTTTGAGAAGTAAGTATTACTGACATTCTTACATTTCATAGCACTCAGATGTTAAAAATTTCATTGCAGTTCTGTTTCTTTATGTCTCATGTTTTGTTCTTCCTTCTTTTTGCACTTAGTGAATAGTTTTCTAGTGTAGCATTTTAATTTCATTAATTTTTTTCATTATATTTTGAGGCTTTTTTAGTGGTTGCTTTAAAGTTTACCATATACAACTTACCAGAATCAGCTTCATGTTTATATTAGCTTAATTTCCGTGATACATAGAAATGTTAATCCTATATAGCTCTATTTCCTTTTCCCCTTTTTTGTGGTATTATTGTAATATGCATTACATATAAATAATGATTCAAATCTAACAATACACTATAATTATTGCTTTACCATTTGCCATCATTTTCTTAGCCCATTACAGCTTTGCTCTCACCCGCTTTGTTTGTGCAGCTATTGGCAATATATTACATAATTACATTTCTATTTGTAACAGGCTTAAAAATATATTACATACACCTTATTTTATACAGTAGCTTTTTTAATCACTTAAGAGAAGGAATGAGAAAGAATATGCATTTATAGTATCTTTTATAATCACATAATTACCTTTACTGGTGCTCTTTCTTTGTGTAGATTCATATTACCATCTGGGGTCACTTGCTTTCAGCCTGAAGAACTTTTGTACAGTGGGTCTGCTAGCAACAAATTCTCTCCATTTTTGTTTGCCTGGGAGAGTCTTTATTTTGCCTTCACTTTGAACAATAGCTCTATCTTCAAGTTAACTAATTGTTTCTTCTGCCAGTTCAAATCTACTATTGAGCCCCTCTGGTAAATTTTTTTAATTATTGTACTTTTTAATTCCAAGATTTCCATTTGGTTCCTTTTATAATTCTGTGTCTTTTGTGATATTCTCTATTTGATGCAAACTGTCATCATACCATTCTTTACTTTTTAAATCATGCTTTCCTTTAGTTCTGTGAACATATTCCTAATGGTTGCTTTGAAATCTTTTTCTGCTAAATCAGACATTTGGTCTCCCTCACAGTTACTGTTCCCTGCTTTGTTTTTAACCCCCAGTGAAAAGGCTATACTTTCCTATTTCTTTGCATGCCTCATAATTTTTTGTTGGAAACCTGACATTTCAAATAATACATTGTAGCAACTTGTGATTATTGTCCCTCCTGTCCCCAGGGCTTGTTATTGTTATTGCTTGTTTATTTGTTTAGTGATGAGCTGGATTATTTTAGTGAACGCTGTTCTCCCCCGCCTCCCCCTGCCCCACACTCAGATGTTAAACTGAGATGTTCCTCTTCTGGGAGGTACAGATTAGGGTGCCCACAGTCACCCTAAGAAGGCAGTGGTATAGAAAAGGCTTTCTTTCACTCCATCCTCAACCACACCAAGATGTTAATCTCCACTAATGCCAGCTGATTGCTCTACTGTTTCTAGAAATGCCCTGGTGGCAAAAAAATCGCTCTGCAAACTAATCCAATCATATTGTGACTCCTTTGAAGGAATGGTTTCTGAGGTCCCTATTTTGATATTTGTTCTGACCCCTGGAGGGCTCCTCCCGGCTGTCTTATTCCCTGGTTCTGTCCGGTGAACTTGTTGGCCAAAAGTCTAGGCTCTATCTTCATTAAACCACAAATCTCTAAATTACCCTTCACCACAACCTTCACTGTCCTTAAGAGCATCCTTAGGCTTAAACTTCTCCACACTTTGCTGTAAATGACAAGAGACTAGGAATGACCCATTCGAGCCTAGACTCTGAGGCCGGGTATCATAGCAAGTTTCTCTTGGAGTAACATTCTTGCTCCAGGACCTGAGTGCTTGGTGATGGCGCGAGCACACGCACACACACACACACACACACACAACATGGCCTGAGGTCCTCTCGGCTTGCTTCTCATGACATGGAACCACTGCCTTAGGAATCAGGGAATGGCTGTCTTCCCAGTATTTGCAGAATGCCACATTCAATGTGGAGTCTCTGTTCCACATTGGAGTTATGCAAGAGGAAGGAGTCCCTACCTCTCAGCTGCCCTCACCTGGGACGTGGCCTTGGCGGCGGCGGCAGCTTGAGACAGGATGAGTGAGAAGTGTTTTTCCTCCCGGGAAGAAAGCCCTCTAGCTGGGAGCTGGGTGGACAGGGAGCCCTGTGTTCTGGCTGCAGCCATCTGCAGTAAACCATTCTACCCCCTACCCCTCAGAGATTCTCTGGCAGGAAGAAGGGAGAGAGCAGTCTTTGTTCAAACTCCTGCCTCTCTCTCTCTTGCTGAATTTTTGTAGATTCTCCTCAACAGATGTTTCTTCATTTGCTATTTGCTTTAGGGCCATTCGCAGAAACTTTAAATATTTGTGTGTGTATATGTATATGTATATGTATATATTTATCTATAAATATATACACACACACAATTTTTGCCAGTTTCACTGAGGAGTGAGTAAGCAGAGCTCCTTACACTATCATGTCAAAAGTCCAGAATCTCAATGGAATTTTATAGTTGGGAACAGAGATTGGAGTTTTATGTATTGGCCATGTTTTTTTCCTGAGTAAAAACAATATGATTATTTGACTATTTTATAAGGGTGATAATGAGGTTTCCACAGATCATATTGGAACTATCAGGACAAAAGACCAGTGGCAGAGGGAATGACTGGAACCTGAGCTAGAATGTGGATAAAGACCTGAAAGAGATTCCTAAAGAGAAATAAGCATCCAAGTAATCTGCAAGTTAGGACTTCCTTCTACTTATTTTATTACTCCTCAGCCTCTAAAAAAAAGTAAAACCTTAGAATTTTCCTTCTATGTGCTGCTTCCTGATTTCTTCATTAAGTTAAATAACTACACTTCACTATGATTTCCATTATAATAATTAAAACTTACGTCTGTAAAGAGGAAACATAACTGATCGAACATAGAGACGATTTCATTTCTGTCCTATTTTTTAATAGATTACTAAGAAGAAGGCCACTCCTGCTTTTTCCCCTTTTTAATGCTTGTGTTAAGAATACTTAACATGAGATTTACCCTATTAACAGATTATTTCAGTGTACAACACAGCAATGTTATCTCTAGGCATAACGTTGTACAGCCGATATCTAGAATTTATTCATCTTGCAAAACTGAAATCTTATACATGTTGATGAGCAATGCCCCATTTTCCACTCCCCACAGTCCCTGGCTACCACCATTCTATTCTTTGCTTCTATGAGTTTGACTGTTTTAGATAAAACATGCAGTATTTGCCTTTCTGTGACTGGCTTATTTCACTTAGCATAATGTCCTTAATGTTCATTCATATTGTTGCATACTGCAGGATTCCCTGCAGAATCATATTCTGTTGCATGTATATACCACATTTTCTTTATCCATTCATCCACAGATGGACATTTAGGTTGTTTGCACATCTTAGCTATTGTGAATAGCATCACAATGAACATAGGAGTGCCAATATATCTTTGAGGCCCCGATTTTAATACTTTTGGATAAATTCCCAGAAGTGGGATTGCTGAATCATATGGTACTTCTATTTGTAATGTTTTGAGGAAGCTTCATAATGTTTTCCCTCATGGCTATACCATTTTGTATTCCCACCATCAACAGTGTACAAGGGTTCCAATATCTGCCTTTTCATCTTGTTCATTTGCCCCAGTGGTTCTTAGCCATGAGTGTGCATTAAACTGGAGTCACCTATGGTTAAATCACTCCAGACTTACCTGATTTTTACAAAAGCTCCACAGGTGATCTTGGTTTGTAAACCTAGTTAATATCAACTGAAATAGTTAAATAAAAGATATAAATACATTATACTTACATTATGCCTTTTGAAATATCCAACTAACTAGCTATCCAGAAGATGATATATTTGTAGAGATCTAGCTAGTGCTTTAAACTCCATAAACATATTATGTTTAATTTGACATGAGACAAATTAATTTTGATGGTTTTGCAATGGTTTTTTTCTTAATGTCAGACCAGCCTCATTAGAGAATACTGTAATCTGCAACTTTACATTTTTTAAAACATTTTTAGAATTGATTAGAGAGAGAGAGAGAGAGAAACAGAAACATCAATGTGAGAGAGAAACATTGATCGGTTGCCTCCTGTAGGTGCCCCTACCCAGGCTTAAACACACAACCTTTTAGTGTGCAGGACAATGCTCCAGCTGACTGAGCCACCCACTCAGGGCTGCAACTTTACATTTTTTTAAATGTTTAATATTGATTTATGTTTATTTTTTCCATTTATGGATTCTACTTTTTCTTGGATTATAAGGTGTTTAATATTACATTTGAAAACCAAGTTTAATGTGTCTTTTTCTTTACAGATAACTAATTAGTAAATAAATTCTCTCAAAAATCAGAAGTGGAGAGTAAATGTTTACTGAGAAATTTTCCTTTTTTGAGCATAGTATACTTCCTTTTAGATATTTACCAGGATACATACATGAATACTTTTCAGGGATTCTTGATATTCAAGTGCTTTTATTTTCATTTACTTTTTCTAAGGAATTAAAAAATTTTATTCTTGGGGGAAAATTGGGACAACTGTAAGAGCATAAACAATAAAATATAATAAAAAATAAAAATAAATAAATTTTTCTTAATTGTGGTGAAATACTTTCATTGACATTTTTACCTTATAATGCTTACTATTTAAAAGCTATTCCTAGAAATATAGCTTTGAAATATTTCTGTATTTCAAAGAAAGAAATTGAGAATTAATCACTAAAACCTTGCAATTAGATGAAGAATAGGAAGCACAGAATTCTTGAGTTCTAGAATAAATTCCCCTAGAACACCCCCACAACCTCCAAAACAGCATACGTTCAATAAGAAGGTAGATTCATCAGTTAATTCTAATGCTGAGACAGGATACACAAATATGCTAGGAATATGATTGACTGGTTCATGATATCAGTCTGGAAGACAGTGAAGAACAGCATATCTGACTATCACAGCACTTCCTGATCTTCCAGCCTCCTACTATTTACCTAATGTTCTGGCTATATAATCTTTAGAGTTACATGTCTAGCCTCTCCACACTGTACATTATTTTATTTACTAAATTTTTTAACTCATATTTCTTGGAAAAACTGAATTTTTTAATTCTCTTTTGTCTTTGATTCCTAGATGTATTGTAGAAACTGAAAACTTAGAAGAAAGAGTAGCTGTGGTGAGTCGAATAATTGAGATTCTGCAAGTCTTTCAAGAGCTGAACAACTTCAATGGAGTCCTTGAGGTTGTCAGTGCTATGAACTCATCACCTGTTTACAGGCTAGACCACACATTTGAGGTAGGTTTGTATAGTTGGCTTTTTTTAAAGAACTTAAATTTCATGTTCTAAGAATCAGGATTTTAACAAATATGATCTTTAATTTTTAAGTGCCTCATCTGTCTCTCACTAATATTGGGTTGGCCAAAAAGTCCATTTAGTTTTTTCCATAAAATAAAAGACACTTTTTACTTTCACCAATAACTTTATTGACTTGAATATTCTGAGTATGTTGGCTGTCTCCTGTGTGGTAGAATGTTGATTGTTTTCAATTAATGTCTGTTTGATCACTATCGGCTTCAACTGGTCTACCCAACCGTGGAGCATCGTCCAGCATGAAATTTCACAAACCATTTTTAACACGTTCAGTCAGTCACAACACCTTCTCCATACACTGCACAAATCTTTTTATGCATTTCAGCTGCATTTTTACCTTTCTTGAAATAATAAAGCTAAAAAATGTCACTTATTTTCTTCCATCTTCAATATTAAAATGGCTTCACAAAAATTCACCAATTTTGATCAGTGTTTTTTTAATGCATGCTGATATGACAGCTGTCACAATACAATCTAAAAAAAAATTATTTCGAATAAAGATAAAGACAACTAAGCACTACAAGAGCCATCTTATGGAAGAAACCAAATGAACTTTTTGGCCAACCCAATATTTTGAAAGATGCTATTATCTAAATTTCAAATTGAATTGGTTGCTCTTTTTAAGTTAGGCATTGTCATTAAAATGTATTCACAGTTAGAAAAAGAAAATGCTGTCAGCACTTAATTTGTAATGTATAATTATACTCACATAATTATGTGAGGAATGGCAAGAGAAACCTGATTTCACAGATGTGCGCACACACACACACACTCCTTTAAGTTTGCACGAGGGCCCATGCAGATAGTCTCTTGGAGCCTGATTTTTATTCTTAGAATCAAACTGATACAGTTGTGATTGGGCTTTACTCTTAGCCGGGAATTTTTGGAAAAACCTTTAATTCCTTTTATAAATTTATGCTCCCTAAATATTTTTTTATTGTAGCAAATACCAAGTCGCCAAAAGAAAATTTTAGAAGAAGCTCATGAATTAAGTGAAGATCACTATAAGAAATATTTGGCAAAACTCAGGTCTATTAATCCACCATGTGTGCCTTTCTTTGGTGAGCATCTCCTGTTGAACTTTTATTGTTTTTCTGGATAAAACAAAACACTTATTTCATTGAATTACTGAGTTTACACATGTATAATATACCAGCAGAAAATACTTATTTAACAAATATTTAGCACCTGAATCCTCTTAGAATTTTTCTCTATTAGGACTTTTTAAGATCCAGCCTAATATATACATTCCACTTCTTATTTCCATCTAGTGCAGCCAATTGATAGAATGCTATCTCGTTCACACTGGTTTCTTTTCTCTGCCTGTGTTGTGCTCTGATGATTCGTCCTCTGAATACTTAACAAAAACTATGATCTCTATTATATGTCTGGTGTTTACTCTTTTTACCATGTGGTATATTTTCTCCTAGCCATTTCCTTATCTATATCTATATATTTTTATATAGCTTTTAGTTATACTGTGCATGGTATTGTTATATCCTGATCTTTTTAAATTAATGTATCATATTTTCCTACTTTTTTCAGGCTTTATAACTAACCATTTTGTATTCTAATATCTTTGCTATGCACATTGTATACAGTTGTAATCATATGACATGTACACACTATGGTTTACTTTTTTCACTTACCATATTCTAAATATCTTGTTGTTTTATTAGTCTTCATAATTATCATTTGTAATGGCTGTATAGTATTCCATAAAATTGGTATGACAAAACTATTACCCCGTAATTGAATACATACATTGTTTGCAGGTCTTAGGGTTTCCTAAATAATGTTATAATGAATATCTTTATTTGGGAATATTTTTTAAGCTAGATATTTTACCATTGTGCCCTTTAGTTTTTATTCTTTAACATACATTATTTTCAAGTTCTATAATGTCCATCTTTCCCATTATGATTGCTGTTGGTTCTAACCTTAGAAAATTCTTCCAGCATAGTAATTTAATATTCAGTGATATTTTCTTTTAGCTTTATGATCTCACTTTCTAAATTATATTTAATTTCTTAATCAAATTGAAATCTCTTTTAGATATATGAAATATTCAAATTTATTTCTCTACCAAATTGTATTTTTATTGATGCAGGTTTATTGAGTAAATCTTCTTTAACCCCATTTATATATAGCAACTCCTTTAATAAATAGCTTCCCATTAAGTTCTTAATACTAGTGCCCCAGTTTTAATGACTGGTGCTTTATAATCAGTGATTCTCAACTTAGGGCAATTTTTGCACCTCAAAGAACATTTAGCAAAATCTGGAGATATTTTTTATTGTTCTAATTGGAAAGTGCTAGAGGCACCTAGTAGACAGGGGACGGAAATATTGCTGACATCCTACAATGCACAGGACAGCCCCCCACAGCGAAACAACTACCCCGTCCAAAAAGCCAGTTGTGCCAAAGCTTAAAGACCTCTCTTTATAGTGTTTTCAAATATGATAACATTGGTTCTTCAGGGTTTCTTCAGTATTTTCTTTGCCAATTTTGTCTCTTTATTTTTTCAAATAAACTTTATAATTGGAGGATGGGAGTTGGGAGTAATTTCCGCTAATACAATTGAAACAATCTCTCAATTAATTTGGAAAGAAAATTTATGGTACTTAGCTTTTTTCTAGGTGTCTTTTGTGAATGGTATTTTTTTAATAGTCAATTACCCTTAATTCCAAGATTTTTAAATTTCCTTGGATTTTCTAAATATTTAATCATGTCTATCAAAAATGATAGTTACTCTTCCTTTGATCTTATTTCTGTGCTGTGTCTTATAACATTGTTCACAACTTCCAAACAAAGATTTAACAATAATGATAAAAATAAGCAGCTTGGTTTTAATCTCAGTTTCAGAAGAAATAGGTATAATTTTGCCATTTTTCTTGATTAGATGCTTTTTATTATGTTAAAATTTATTTTCATAATTATCTCCTTTGTTTTTGTTAGCAATATACGTTTACTTTTGTAAATAGCTTTCCATCTTAGTGAGAAAAAGGATTTTTCTTGTTTAGCAGATTAAATTATAGATTTGCTAATACTGATCCTTCCTATTTACTAATATTAACTCATTTATCTTGGTGGATTAATCTTTTTAAATATATAAATGAATTCTATTCATTATCATTTTATTTAGGATTTTTGCATCCATCTTCATAAATAAGGTTGGTCTGTGGTTTTTCTTTTTGTACTGTATTTACAGCTTTTGTAATTGGTTATATTTACTTCATAACATTAGTTAAGTAGCTTTCCATCTTATTTATTCTATTCTGGAATATCATGAAATGATCTAACCTTTAAATTTTGAAATATTCCAACAAAAACCATCTGGACCTGTAATCTTTTGTAGGATATAATTCTTTAGTAACATTTTTATTTCTTAATTTTTTTAATTTCAGTTATCTGCTACACAAGTGCCTAATTTCATTATTTAAAAAAAATACAAGCATTCAGATATATCTACAAAAAGGTTGTTTTGTAAATTTTTCCTATTTGCAGTCTATCTTTCTCATTTCTTTTTGTAGTTCTACTTTCATTTGCTTTTTTCTTCAAAAAGATAAACTCTTAAACATAATTATGTATTTTTTATCATTATTTATTTATTCTGTTTTCTTAAGGACTTTCTCTCCCTAAATTATTAATAAAACTATTGAGTTCATTTATTTTCCTTTTCTGATAAAACATTAAAGTTTATGCAAGTACTTTCATGTGTGGTAACTGTAGTGCCAGTTCATACGAGGGAGTCTGGGAAAGGACCTGGGTAGGTTCATTTCCTTCAGTTGACAAATATTTCTTGATTACCTGCTATGTGTCAAGAACTATATCAGGTGCTTAGAAAAAGTGAAAAAATACATAGCACTTATTGGGCTTATAGTCATGCTAGTCATGGTATTCTACAGCCTCTGGTACACAGAGGTGAAGAGAAACCTTAGGGCCTTTTCACTGGACTCATGATTCGGCCCCTGCTACCCCATTACCATGATTGGTGGACATTTATTCACACAAATTGAACTCTCCAGAGTACTCTCTGTCAGCTGAACTAACATTGCTATTCTTCATAACATATCATGTAAAGAAAGGATGTTTCAGACCCGTATTTAGAGTATAATTCCCTGTGTTTTAAGGTAAGTTGTATGATTTAGTGAGTGTTTCTGCTTGTTTTCCTTGTTGTTGAGCCTCTGCTCTTTCAAGGCAGTTTATCTGAACTATCCCTGCTCAGTTCTGCTGCTCTGGGAAGATTTTTGCTATTTCAAAACTAAAAGTTCCCAGTCCCTGGAGTTTGCCAGGCAGCCTGTCATGGTTCTGACCAGTAGGTGGAGCCGTATGTTATTGCTGCTGCTTAATTCCATCTCGCCTATACTCCTTCCAGACTCTTATCCTTAATTCTGTATTCTGTTCTTTCCCTGTATGGGAGCGTCAGGGGTAGTATCTAACACTTGTACTTGGTCTTCATCTTACTAGAATTTTTATTCAAGTCTTTTGCTGGCATTACACCATTTACAGGCAATTTCTCCTTCCAAGGCTCTGCCAGACTATGGTCTATATCCTAGTTTTTCTCCATACACAAAAATGTTCTACTCATAGGTAGAATAGATATATGTATATGCAAACTAACATTTATTTTAAGGTAAAAGGATATCAGTTCCTCACTCAACCAAGTCTCACGTCTCTGTGCAAACATCCAAGCCTGTAGCATTGACTTCGCTGTTTCTTTTACACAGCTTTAATTGTGTGTCCTCCTTCTGTTTTTTGTCAATTTGTTTCATCTCCACTCTTACTTCCCTGGCAGTTTGGAATTGACTATATGTCTCTTGCATCTTTTCATTCATTCAGAAACATCCATTGAATGCTTCCATGTGATGTGCCAGGCCCCAGGCTAGGTGTTAGGATAGAGAGGCAAATAAAACATAGTCTTACCCTCAATAAGCCCCCTCCAAGGAGCAGAAAAATAAATTGTAGTACCATGTAGTACATATAATACTGTATTGCAGAGATGTATGAATCAAAGTGTGAACAAAGTGCTGTGGGACCTAGAACTCTGAGCAGCCATTTTTTTCCTGAAGGTTTGGGAAAGACATGAGCAAAAAGGTAAAACCTCACCCTTCTTCATATTTATGTGGTAGTGCTCTGCTTTCCCTCTCCCTAAAACAACTGTCTCCACAGGTATATAAAATGATCCATTTAAAAAATTAAGGTTTAACAGTTTATTATATATATTTTAATTATATATAGAGAGAGGGTGCATACTTAAATACTTTTTACTGATATATAGTACACAGTCAACAAAGTTTGGACACCACCTTTTTGACCATTTATTCTCCTTCTGACTAGCCATTAATTTGTCATAAAATAATTTCTAAATCTCATCCAGAGCTCTGCCAAAACGCTATTTGTAAGCATTTTCACAACTTAATTCAAGTATACTTTTAACACTTACAACACCTCATAACTTATTTCCCCACGTTCCCAGGGTCAGTCCTTATACCACCGCCCTTTCAGTCACTCAAGCACAAAGCTGAGTCCTCCCTCCCGCTGCCCCCAGGCTCGGCTCAGACCTGTTCATCAGTTCTTGTGGCATCTACTTCTTAGATGTTTGTGCACTCCGTTCTATCCCTGGAGACCCTAAGATAGCCCTCGTTATCTCACCAGGATGACTTTTATCCAGCTAACGGATCTCCCTGCTTCTAGCCTTACCTCCTCACCTCTCAGGCTTCACAATTCAACCAGAGCAATCCTTCTAGAATGCAAATATGCTAATAATTTCCTAATTACCTATTAAATAAAAGTTAAGCTCTTTTAAAAAGGTTTTTCATGACCCAGTCGAGATGCTACTACCCACAAATTCTTCACAGTGGGGCCATCAGTTTGTGACCAAATTGGAAAGCTGATTTGTCTGCCATGAAATACCATATTTTGCTATGTATAAATGTGCTCCAACATTTTTGGCCCAAACTTTCAGGAAAAAATCTTTCATTTTAATTTTCTAATTCAATTTTTTACTTATATTTAGAAACAAAACTGATGATCGTATTCCATGGTATTATTTTGCATACAGATATCATTATTGCTTTCTAGAGTTACACTTTTAACACATAAGCATAAATAAAAGAATTAGAAACATTTATGTATATACAGAATTAGTACTACCCATGTATAATGTGCATCCTTATTTTTCCCTCAAAAATTTGGGCAAAAAAATGCGCATTATACACAGCAAAATAATCTACTACCATGATCATATTTGTCAGGCTGAACATTGAGCTAAGTTGATCATGCAGCTTAATGTAGAGGAGACTATAACCAGAAGATATGTAAAATAAAAGAGGCTGTGCTTACTGGAGCACAGGGGAAATTTGTCATGAATGTATGATCAAGAGTGGCCTGAGCCTTAGCTGGTGTGGCTCAGTGGATTGAGTGCTGACCTGTGAACCAAAACATCATAGGTTTGATTCCTGGTCAGGGCACATGCCTGGGTTGCAGGCCAGGTTCCCAGTCAGGAGCATGAAGGAGGCAACCAATAGATGTATCTCTCGCACATCACTGTTTCTCTCCCTCTTTTTCTCCCTCCCTTCCCATCTCTCTAAAAAAATAAGTAAATGAAATCTTAAAAAAAAGAAAAAAGAGAGACAGAGAGTGGCCTGAGTGTTTAGAAATAACTAATACACTTAATAACTGGCTACTTCATAGAATCAAACTGGCATTGATATCTATCATATTCATTATTGCTGATTTGTTCACTGTTGATTTGGGGTCATTTAATCTTTTCAAGAATGTGGCCAGAAATTCTAGCATTGACAAGTATGCCTGTACCACCAAAGCATTTAGAACTGCTAAAATATGATTGGAACTAAAGTGCCTGTTATTTTGTTCATTCCCCTCCTCATCCAGCACACAACCTGAAGTGATGGAGAAGGGATTAGAACTTCTAATCGCTTACTTATGTCATTCCCATATCCTACCACTTGTCTCCCTTCCCACACATCAGATCCCTGTGGTCTAGCCATATGAAACAACATGCTATCTCTGAGTATGCCTTCCAAGCTTCATCACAAACCAGTGCCCCTGTACATACTGCTGCTTTGCTTAGACTGCCCTTCCATCTTAATCTGCTTACTAAATTTCTATCCATTTTTTGAGACTTATTTGAGCCATCACCTCATCCGTGATACTTTTCTACAGGCAGAGGTAGGCACATTTCCTTTGTGCTTTCATAGCATCTTATGCACTAGTGCTAACATAGCACTTACCAGATTGTACTGTAGTAGCCCACATTCAAAGCTTTGAACACCTTAAGGTCATGGACTGTGTGTCTTATTTTTCTTTGGATCTGCAGTACCTAATGCAGTGCTTGGCATATAGCAGAGGCTCAGTACACATGTGCTAAGTGAATGAATTTAGATATTTACACAGCCTCTTTTTCCCCCGCAAAACATCACAGTCAGTACTTTTGGGGAAAAGGCATAAGCGTAAGAGAACAGGGCAAGATTAGCAACAAAGACAACAACAATAACAACCATCGCTAATTAAACATGTACTTTTGTCAGGCCCTGTTCTAAGCCTATATATGAATTTACTCGTTCACTTCTCACAAGCAACCCTACTATCCTCACTTCATAGATGAAAAACCAAGGCACAGAGAAGCTAAGCAACTTGTACAAGATCACACAAGTAGAAAACAGCAGTTGGCTCCAAAACCTTTATGCTAGAACAGAAAGAAACTGAAGGGATCCTGGCCACAGGGGGCTGTGTAGAGAGCTAAAGTTCCCTTGTTCACTCACCTCCTCACCCAGTGTACAGCCTGCAGTGATGAGGAAACAGGAGCTCAATTATCAGGTTGCCACTAATTCTAGAAGTACTGAAGACCAGAATATACATAAATTATATGCAGTCTTGTACTTGACAGGCTTGCAGATCCTTCCACATTAACATGAGTAAGCCTATCCAAACAGTACTACATCTGAATTGCAAATCCTAACAAACTTCTGGGGCCTCAAGAGCTAAATAAGCAACAAACAATCCTCTGAATTGAAGCTTTTGCCAAAAATAAGTGTTATTAGGAATGGATTATTCTTAAAGTTTCTTTTACAAAACTATGACTTATGTCAGGTAATATGTGATTTGGCAGGTATGGAAAATTGGTTATTCCTGCTGAAAAATGTGTAAACTTTGTTAAATTTTGTCTCCCTTTTCTTGGGTATTTAGAAAACTTCAGTTTGTTGCAGAAGAATTCAATACTTATAAAACTCTCGTGATATTTACTTACTAGCTTGATGTTTTTCATAGAATGGAAGTCTTGATTCTTCCTTGATTCTTTGGTTATGATGGTTGAGATGGTACAGTGTAAAATGACTACAATTACTAACAAAGAAAAACTAGCTTTTTCCTTCTTTATCCTTGAAATAATTTCATTATGTCTTTTAGGAATTTATCTAACTAATATCTTGAAAACAGAAGAAGGCAACCCTGAGGTCCTAAAAAGGCATGGAAAAGAGCTTATAAACTTCAGCAAAAGGAGAAAAGTAGCAGAAATAACAGGAGAGATCCAGCAGTACCAAAATCAGCCTTATTGTTTACGAGTAGAATCAGATATCAAAGTAAGTTGGATTATGTATGTGTACATATTTCTAATTAAGTTTATAACCTGCCTGATGAAAGGCAGGTTTATTTTATAGATGAGAAGAAAATAAAAATAAAAGAAAATTTCATTTAAATAAAAATTAAAATAAAATTTAAAAAATCAAATTTTCTTATGTTAAATGTTTTCTTAAATTATTTTCATAAATTTCAAACTGAATTTCAAATATTTAGTATTAATAATTGTTTCTTTGCATTTATTTTAGAGGTTCTTTGAAAACTTGAATCCAATGGGAAATAGCATGGAAAAAGAATTTACAGATTATCTTTTCAACAAATCCCTAGAAATAGAACCACGAAACCCTAAACCTCTCCCAAGATTTGTAAGCATATGTTCATATATTTATATTACTTTTACATTTATATGTATTTTTCAGTTGTCATCTGTATCTGGTGATCCTGTCACTACCATATGTGTTACACAGATTAGTTTTCTGTAAAGGCATTAGGATGAAGTGCACAGGTGATGGATAAAAATAATGAATAAGTGCTTAATGAGTATGTTCAGGAATATCCCACTTGGTTTCAAATAAATGAGTATTAATATTATTCTGAATAAGTCCTGATATGCTAGATGAAGAAATGAAAGCAAATACAAAAGTTTTTATTTTTTAAAAGAAAAATAAATTATTCGAGATTTAAGGGCAGGAAATTTGATTATATTTTATTAATTCACATAATAAATGAATGTACTTGTGACCTTTTTTTTTAAAGTAATGACTTATGAAGTTTTCCTAAAGATAATTATGCAGAAAAATTAAAGTTTCCATTGTTTTTTTAGTATCTGGCAGTGTCTGGCCAAATTTATGTACAGTATCATCACTTCACTGATCTGAATATAATCTGTCTTATTTATAAGAAAGTCAAGAATCAAGAAGTAAATATAAATAGCCTCTAAGTAACCAAGATAAATCTCAAAATGTCTGTGAATTAAATTTTATGTAATTATGTCACAAGAATATTTTTCAAGGCCTGAAATAGTTTTTTTAAAGGTGGATTAAAACTAGCAAATGAGAAATATTTACACAGTCTGCTCCAATGAGGGACACTGATATCACTGAGAAATGATCACTCTGTAAGAAAATTCCATAGAACTAACATAACAACACAGATGAAAACTGAGGCAATTTAGCGCCTTTGTAAATACCCAGTGACCGTGACGGCATTACTGTGTTAGAGCACAGTGAGACGATCACAGTCCACAGTTAGGGTCCTGGCTTTTCCAAGAAGGTTAAATCAAACCAGTTCAACATAGTCTGCTTAAAAAGCCTGAGAAACATACAACATATTTAAAAGAGTTTCATCCAAAGATATTAAAATAACGAATACTCTGGTATTTATAGGATTAAGATTCAGTTATTTGAAGAAATTCATTCCCTAATAATTTAGATAGCCAAGACTTTATGAAAATGGGATGTTAATGCTTTAGCCTGAACAGATTAATTTGAATCATTGTATAACTTCTTTATTGGTGGTATATGGTTTTCCTAGGTATTAGTTGAATTTTACCAGGCATATATAGAAAAACTTTCCCTTCTATTATGGTGTTATAAGTATTGTGGGGTTTTTATTTTTATTTTTTATGTCTACAGCCAAAAAAATACAGCTATCCCCTAAAATCTCCTGGTGTTCGTCCATCAAACCCAAGACCAGGTACCATGAGACATCCCACACCTCTGCAGCAGGAGCCGAGGAAAATTAGTTATAGTAGGATCCCTGAAAGTGAAACAGAAAGTACCGCATCTGCACCAAATTCTCCAAGAACACCATTAACACCTCCTCCTGCTTCTGGTGCTTCTAGTACCACAGATGTCTGCAGTGTATTTGATTCTGATCATTCAAGCCCTTTTCATTCAAGTAGGTGCTAAAATTTTAAGTGCTTTAAAGTAATTGTTAGTATTATATGTGATAGAGGTAAAAGAGAATCTGTATAATTTTATTTATTTATTTTTGGTAAATTTGTAGGCAAATAACTATTTCAAAAGATATTATAAAAAATATAAAACAAATTCTAAATTCCAGCAACCTATGTTTTTAAAAAATTTGTTGAAACAGCCCTCCTTAAATTTATTATATTTGACTGAAAGACCTGGTGATAAAATTGCTAATTTCAGCTTCATTTGAGCATGTTCTTAATTGGTGAATTTGAAATGCATCTGTTGTATCCAGAGGAAACAAAGCTAACTCCCTAAAGTCTGCAAGGAACGTCAGTCCAAGGCTTTAAATGCTGTCTCCAAAATGTTTATATCTGCATACTACTCAATACATCATTCCCTTTCCACCAAACTCTATAATTTTTAATTCGCAGTGTACCAGATTCAAACTCCTACGTAGCCTTTCTCAGTCTACACCATTGGGCACATGGTACATAGTGCCTGTACTTTCACACCCAGCCATACAAATGTCACAGACTGCCTGCTATTGCTCATCCCTTTCTTATTTCTAGATCAGTACTATCCAATAAAATTTAATGGAAGCCACATGTGTAACTTTGAATGTTCTATAGTTACATTTTAAAAAAGCAAAAAGAATTAGGTGAAATTAATTGTAACATGTTTTATTTAATCCAGTATCTGTAAAATATTGTCATTTCAACATGAAATCAATATAAAAATTTATTAGTAAGATATTTTACATTGTCTTTTTATTCTAAATCTTGAAAATTGAGTATGCATTTTACACTTACAGCACACCTCAATTTGGATGAGCCACAATCTAATGCTTAATAATCACATGTGACTGGTGGCTACCAAGTTCTGTAGCTCAGTTACAGCCCTTGCATGAGCCACCTTTTATATATAGGTGTTTCTATTAATTTTCTACTAAATTTCATACAGTTTTAAAGCTCTACTAAGAACACACAACCTTTTTTCACTTGTTCATTATCAAATCAAAACTTGAATCTAATCACCTTTAACCCTCTCACAACCACTTCCATATGTTCTTCCCATTGGCTGTCTTAGCTCAAAGTGCAGATCAAATTCCAGCCTAGTATTTGACATAATTGAATGCAATACTCAGAAGCAGCACGACATTATTATGGGAGAGGGGTTGAGAAGCACTGGTGCAGGAGTTAGGAATCCCGGCTTGTCATTCCAGTCTGCTAGTGTGCTAATTTTAGGTAAAATACTTTTTCTGAGCCTTCTGGGAATCAGACTAGATTTAAGGTTTCTTCCAACTCAGAGGATCTAACTTTTTAACAAAAATCAACTTGAAATCATTCTTTGGAGAATACATTATTTTGAGACTTGGTCCAGAATCCTATTCATTTATTCCTGTGTTATACGTACATGTGAGTTCCCAGACAGTTTGTCATGCCTTTATACCACCTAAAGTGTGTTTGTTTTTGAGAATTACTACATCTTGGCCTTTTTTTGGTTATTGAGGATTATGGAATCATGTTACTCACATAGTAAGCTATCAGATATTTTTGATGGTAAGTTCAAATAAACACCAGGTTTAAAAAATCCCATTAATTTTCCCCAATCCACCAACTCCCTAAATTAATAAAATAAAACCCACTCTATTTGCAGTATACCTGACCTAAAATCGTTATTTATTCTCACCCATTTTAACTGTTTGCAGGGTTTTTTCCCTAAGGTAGATGGCTCAGGTCTATATTATAAAGATTCCCACATAAGTAAATTATTGAAATCATATTCCACATGTTGCAAATTCTACTTCTCTTAGTTTAAGAAGTAGCTAAAAATGGAAAAGGTGGAAAGATAGGAGATAAGCACATTACGTTCCTTGTTAGTACTAACCCTGTAAATGGTCCATCAGGCAGGGAAGAAGGAATCATTCTGGAGTGCTCTGGATAAGTGCTTTGTCATATGTGGCAGTGGAACAACGTTACTTAAATAGCCAGACAAGTAGAGAAACCACTGTTCCAGTAGTCAGACTTTGTAATCTTAGCCTTAAGGGTTTTCTCAATGCCTTTCTTTGTGATACGGAAAACCCTATTACTATTCCCTTTGCCCTTAGTAAAAATTGAAAATAACTGATTTTAAAATTAAATAAGCCAGCATAATGTAAAACCATCTGTATGCTCAGATGGTCCCTTACTTAAAACTCACCAGTGGCATATGTGTATTGGAGATCCTCATCCACTTTAGACCTCACTTCTGCGTGACAGGTCTGCTAATGCTGGGTGGGGCGGGGTTCGCCAGAGTGTGCAACTTGCTGCCCTCTGTGCTGCCACCGGAGTGAATGCCTACTTCCTTGTTCCCTAGGCCTGGCAGCCAAGAGCTGCTGTGCCCACATTCTATGTCAGATGAACATATTCCCCTCAGTACAAAGTGGCAGAAAGTACCACTGCTTAAGTTTTTCAAAAGGCAAAGTTTGATTCGAATTTTAATTAGTCATAATAGTACTTTTTTGCTTCTTACATTTTTTTCCCAAAATAATGTACTTTAAACCCAGTAATTAATTTATTCAGCCAGTATCTGTTTTATGTCTCACTCCTTGCCAAGCACTTATACATCTTCTCCGGTAAGGCTTATAGTCTTACTGAGAGATTAAAAAAAAAAAAATCATAGTACAAAAAAAAAAGCATAGTTAAAAGCTTTACCATTGTGAAATGCTATGGCTCTCTTTGCACTATGACTATTTTTCATCTTTCAGTAAGATTACAAGTTTTACCAGAGAAGATGTGTAAGTACTTAGCAAAATGCTAATAAGTGGTGAAAACGTAAATGTTGTAGAAGTTTACACAAAGATAACAGAATGGGCAAGAATCGTCATGGAAAGCTTTGTGGTGAAGACAGAGGGGAAGGAAACAGGCCACGTGTTTAGTGTGTTACCTACACCCTCACATGCAGAGCCCTGCTCCGCATCTTGCCCTGGCCAGGTCCACCTCTGAGGTGCTGACAGTGGCTGGGAAAAGGGGAAAGACTGCCCAGCTCACTGCTTTGTTTCTGCTGCTATAGCAGGGAGGAGAGAGGGATAAAGTGCTCTCAGGACCTCCCTGTTGGAAGACTACCTGGACGTAAAAGGGAGCCAAAGGTCTGGCCTGATCTGTGTGCTACAAATGAACTTTAGCTCCATCTCTTCTAGGTAAAGCTTTGACAAGAAGAGGTGTATTCCAAGCATTTCACTGAATGCACAATTTTCTTCATAGAACACTGTAGTAGGCGATGAGTTTCCAACCTGAAATACATTTGTTCTTAACAAGCTTTTGTGCATTTAAGAAGCTATCCATGATTTATATATTTTTTTCTGTAGGAAAATGCTTGTTCCTATTTCAAGAATGACTCTTAAAAATTGGAGAGGATCTTCAATAGTGGTTTCAACCACGGCTGTATATTATAATCCCCTGGAGATGCTAATGTGCAGCCAAGATTGAGAACCACTTATCTACTATTTGGGATTTGTGCTAAATAAATTAATACCACATATTTAAATTAATTGTATTTCATTCCTAAGTCATTATCAATAAATGTGTAAGTACCCAGCTGACAAGAATTTCCAGTATATATTTCTTGATTAGATCATGTATAAATTCTAAGAGTTTTTTTCTTATAGCACTTTCCAGGCAGTAAGACCAAACAATTAATTTTAAAGTGACAAATCAGAAAAGTGCCCCAAATTTAACAAACGCGTAAATCCAAACCTGTTCTGTATATAAATATGATCAAAGCCAAGTCTGTGTCTGTGTGCTCAAGTGTGTATGCATAGGGAGAATCGTTCTTTCTAAAAGCCTACAGTTTGTAGCTGACATGAGCTTTTAGAAAGGATGATTCTAAAATCATCCTTGTTTTGATATTATTCCTCTGTTATACCAAGCGCACTGCCATGTTCTTGAGGCTTATCTCCAGGAGGTGTATTTTTTCCTCAGTGGAAAATACAGAAGTAGGTAAACACTGGAGTTGTACTGTTATATCATAGGTACCTACTAAGTAGTGAAGAGAATCACTGACAGAGCACAGCTGCATTTAATATCAGGGTAAAAAAATGGATTTTAATTTTCTGAGAGAGAACTTACTAGAATTAGCTGGATTGCTATCCTTTAGTAACCATGGCCTCTGAATAAATATTGGTACAGATGGAAAAGAGATAATGGGGTAGATTATTTAAAATTGGGGCTGTCTGGGAAATAAGACATGATATCTATATGAGCAATCAAATTAATAGTATTGCCAACTGAACCTGGAATGTAAAATTATCTTTATTCTGACCAAAGAAGCTGGGAAAAAACAATGTTCCAAGTTATGAGTGACTGCCTAATGTGAAAAAACAGGAGATAAACTTGAATTTTAAAAAATCAGCTCCATCTAGCGTTACAGGAATTATTTTAGTCTCTTGGATATTATCTGTTGGTAATATGAGGCAGTGTAACATAAACAACTTTATTGATTTAAAACCAGTATAGATTAGCCTTTTGTCTCAGTTTTTCTACTTTACTGCTCTTGAGGCTTTGGCTTTTGATGATTTCCATTTTTTTGTTGTTGTTAAGAGAATTAACATTGCTGAAATTGGACATTCTGAACTTACCAGTGAATTGCCTGTATAAAATGTGTCTAAGCACCAAATGTTTATTGATCTTTTTTAATTGTTCAAGAATATAAAAGGGAAAAAGCTATACAACTTTCAAACGTCTTTGGTAATATCCAAAGATGTAGTTATTTTGTGATGAGAATATATGCCCCAAGAACATTTTCAAAGGTGTATAATAATAAGAGTAGTAAGAAAATCCCTTTTATTTTATAATTTATATAACAAATTCATTATTTGCTACTTATTTCACAAATCTGAGTTTTCAAAATCTTAGTACATAACGTATTTCAGTATGTCCAGCTGAATTATTTGTTCAGATTGGGTTTATACATTTTTTTAAGTCTATCACTAATATGGCATACTTTAGTTTTCTCATGAATGCTTTTAATTTAATCATTGGCATCAAATAATGAATCTAAAAGGAATATTCAAAATTCCCAGTATGATATCAACTCAATTTAATTCTTCATTTTCTCAAAAGTAAGTAGTAAAGAGCTTTTACTAAAGACTTATATCATTCCTTAAACTAGAATGAGAAAAATAATATTGTTATCTTAAATAAATTTTTACAAACGAGTTGACTATATCAGTGAAAGAAAAAAAAAATCTACTTTTTCTTGTTTCCTTTCACAGGCAGCGATACCGTCTTTATCCAAGTTACACTGTCCCATGGCCCAAGTTAGTATATTTGGTTTAAGACTCGATTCTCGCTTTGGCTTTAAAAATTAAACCAAGTGTAACCTTTCCTGCTGAAACTCTTTTTGAGTCTGCCAGTTTTGGTACCTTGCTTGCAACATCCTAGAAGTGAGGCCTTCACTTGTGCTATCTTTTGATCCTAAATGATTTGCTTAAACTTATATACTTTTCATGCTTTTATAAAACCTTTTTCTCTTTTAAAAGAACAGTATTATATGAGTGGCTTCCACATTTAACCATTTCTCTTTTCCAACTATAGAGTTTAAATATATTTAATGCTCAACTTTTCAAAAAGCAAGAGCATGCATGCGCATATGGGAATGCTGGCAGCTACATGCAGTGTCTAAACCACAAAATACACTTAGCCTGGTGACAGCACAGATTATAGGCAAATAACTGTTGTTTGACTTTAGAAGAACTATCTTATAATTGCAACTACTTAAACTATATGGCGTTAATATTCATTACTGTTAAGCAAAATAAAGTTCTACTGTAGATATTTACTTTCTTTTTAAAGTAAACTAACAATTCAGCAAGTTATTTCATAAACTTTAAGCTAACAGGTTAATGTTTTTTGCTGTCCTTCACACAAATGATTTCAAAATATGTACAACAAAAAAATACTAATTATAAACTAAATTAACATAGTCTCAAGAAGAAAAAAGGTAGGTGATCAAAGTGTTGGTTGTTTAAATAATACCACTACACAAAATAGTCTGTAAATTCTATATTGTTATAACATTTAATTGGCAAAATAAAAGCTGTCAATGCTTAAAGAAAAAAAGAATCCGCCTGTATGATTTTGAATGATTAAATATTGTTTCATATCTTTCTTTATAGTGCTCATAAACTAGCTAAGAACTTAGTAAATGATGCCTTTCAAAGTGTAATTATTTACATGCCTACATTATGCCCTTGTCATCATAAATGTCCGTAAGATAGGTTCCAATTAGAAGCTTTACTTACTTTTTTGTGCCAGTTTATCAACTTATTCTTAAATCAGGTTCAGTAGATTCTAGCACAATTTCTGTTTTTATTATCAGGACTGCTTCATTCATCTTGAATAGCTCCCTTACAATTAAAATTTTGAGAGTATGATGGACCTGATTTTGCTAACCCACCAAGGAGAGCCTATATCAAAGCAAAATGAGGAGAGACCCCTCCCACAGACAATAGATTCTCTCTCTCCCTGGCATCCTTGGAGAGAATTGCTGGGGAGAGACATTGGGGAGAGTGGTTAAGATGAGAAACTAATTCCAAGTACTATCCAGTAAGGGCAGAAAAATGCTATACTAATAAAGTCAGAGGGGGAAAAATTAGCCTATCACAAAAGCTTAACAAAAATTATCATTCCAAAGGTTTTTAGTAGTAGGCTATCCTTCTTAGGAATGTGATAGTCAGGCCTACATTTAAAAATTCCAATTATAAATTAACAGTGGGAATGTTATTTTTTTCAAGAAGCAAAATTACAGAATGTGTTAGGCAGCTTTTTTTTTTTTCCTAAAAATTCTGCTAAAAAATTTCTGCATGCTTTTACAGCAGTTTGCTTTAATAAAGAAATACTATCAGGTATTGGTTTATTGAACTGCTTTTGATACTTCTGTACATTTCTTTTAATAAATATAAGCATTTTCCAGCTAAGCCTTTTCAGGATTGATATATGAAATAAAATTCCCATGACCTTTTTAAAAATGTCAACATCCTGCAGGATCTGCTTCAGTATCATCTATAAGTTTAACCAAAGGCACTGATGAAGTGCCTGTCCCCCCTCCTGTTCCTCCACGGAGACGACCAGAATCTGCCCCTGCAGAATCTTCGCCATCTAAGGTAAAGTAGAAAATCTTGTTATCTAGAAACTGGAATCATTAAAGTTATATTACACTCAATTGCTGTATCTAGTTTAGTTCTTAATGGGTTAGGATAACACTTCAGAGTATTTGGGCTTAATGGAGTTTAAACAAGGATTAAATACAAATTTACCAGGCAATGGTAATGTTTATTTCTTTTCTTCTGAAAGTAGTTTTTTGGTATATTTTCAAAACCCTTGTAAATCTAAATCATGGTTACTGTCAAGGAAAAAAGAAGTTTAATCTATAAAGTAAGAGTTACATAGTCTCAAGCAGAAAGAAAGAAAGAGGATTGAAGCTTTATATGAATAGCACATTTTAAGTGAAACTTTTATCTTAGCACATGCTAAATATTACCTGTCTGAGCCCTTTTAATAGTGAATCTGATGTGCTTTTAAATGGGATTTTCATGAAGATTCCAGGTTGGGAGAGACCCTAAAGGCTCATGTAGCTATTTTTTCCACCTAGTTAAACTACTTCTTTGCCAACTGTTAATTTGATTCAGCAGAGCATCTGGATAAGTCAAGACATTCTTTGCAGAACTTGAAATATTAATATAGTAAGTTTAATACTGTAAAATTAACAGGTAACATATAAACGAGAAAAGTTCTTATATTAAATTGACTGTAGGTAAGCAGTAGCAAACAACACAATTTTGAGAAAAGTAAAGTAAAAGCTTAACATTGAAAAAATATTTATGTATTTTTAGTGAATTAGCATAACCTTACATTTAAAATGCATGGCAAAACTCCCTGATCCACACCTAAGGTTCTTCCAATAGCATGTTTGAAATCCCCAATTTAATTCTTAATTCTTAATACACTCATGGTAATACATAAATTAAATTATTAAGAAATGTGTTTTTTTTCACTTGTCTTAGATTATGTCTAAGCATTTGGACAGCCCCCCAGCGATTCCTCCTAGACAACCCACATCCAAAGCCTACTCACCACGATACTCAGTATCAGACCGGACCTCTCTATCAGACGCTCCTGAAAGCCCTCCTTTGTTACCACCACGGGAACCTGTGAGGACACCTGATGTTTTCTCCAGCTCACCACTACATCTCCAACCTCCCCCTTTGGGCAAAAAAAGTGATCACGGCAATGCCTTCTTTCCAAACAGCCCTTCCCCCTTTACACCACCTCCTCCTCAAACACCTTCTCCTCATGGCACAAGAAGGCATCTGCCATCACCACCATTAACACAAGAAGTGGACCTTCATTCCATTGCTGGGCCACCTGTTCCTCCACGACAAAGCACTTCTCAGCATATCCCTAAGCTCCCTCCAAAAACTTACAAAAGGGAGCATACACATCCATCCATGCACAGAGATGGACCGCCGCTGTTGGAGAATGCCCATTCTTCCTGAGTTCCTCCGTACCAGGATGTGTATCTCCTGTCCCCAAATCCATTGCTGGCAATGGATGCACTGAATGTGCCAGCACTGAGGAGTTAAAATGAGAACTCCAAACACTAACGACTCTACTTCAAGATGCAGTATAAGACAATGAATTTTAACCTAGATGTAATTATATAATGAAAATGGCATTCGTTTAGAATATGAAAAGACTGATCTAGAGAAATTGGACAACTGATTCACCTGAAACTCAATTAAAGGGACTTTTTCCAGCCAGTGGGCTGGAGCCTCTTTTTGTGAATTGATCTTTATCATTAAAGGGATGGAAAACACAGTCTAGTGTCCAGCAGGCCCACATGATGACAGTTTTTATAATTCAAAATATTATGCACTTTTTAAAAAGAAATCTTAAACAGGGATCTTCATATCCTCCTTTGTTTTCCTTTGCTTTTACTCGTCCGACTTTAGAATATTTTCTTAAGAATCATTCAAAGGACTGTGAGGAAAGGCTGTGGTACCTGACCTTGTTGGAATCAAGGCCCAGCACTGTACTACAGTCCTGTTTACAGATCATTATAGTGAATTGAATGAATTGAATGGGTACCAAGGCTTCACCAAAGAGGTACTTTTTTTTTAAAAGAATAATTATACCAATTTTAAGAGCATATCCACCCACTCTCCCTATACAAACAAAACGTGGTGGTGTTGCCTTCAAACGAGAATTTTTGTGTCGTTAACATGACAGAAGAACTTTTTTAAAAACTGTAACTGTCAACTATACAATTTACATTTAGGAGACTGTTATCTCTGCTTGATTGTCATTCCCACCCTTCTCCCGCAGAAGTTTACTGGTCATCCATGCCATGGCTCATAGCTGTCCCACTGACCATGCTGTGGCAATGCAGTCACCAGTGTGAAAAGGAGCACTTAGTGCTTGCTGGGCATCCCTGACACCATTCATGTTTTACTAATAGTTGAGTGATCAGCCTACCTAGAATTATCTTGCATTGCCGAAATCATGTGTATATAGTGAATGTTATATAATAAACCTTGCAGGTCTGTTTTAATTTAATTGAATAAAGATACAAATACCTTGTTGGCTGGCATATATTAAATTATTATATGGAGAAAGTGGTTGATTCTTATTTCTTTCAGTTGAAACACACACAAACACGAACACTAAGCATAAAAGCACGTATTGTGGTACGCCTTGGTTTCTAGTTCTGGATGTATGTATTTATCTTAAAGAATGATCTAAAGTTGCAGTTTGGCATGTAGGATAATATTTGGTTAGAATAGGATGGGTATCTTTTAAGCAGAACTTTGTGAGTTTTTTAATTTCTTAGGCAACATGTATACAGTTTGTTAAAGTTTATATTAATCATTCTACCTTGCTTGAGGTCTTTGCTCTGTCAGAACTATTCGTAAGAGAACATCTACCTACATCATTAAAATCATAATATGGATTATTCATTAAGCCTATGTATTGATCTTCTGAGTCTAACAAATTCTGTGACTGAAATGCATGCAACTTGTTGAAGAGAAAAACTTTTATTAGACTCCACTATAATGTCTGAAATGTGCAGTATTCCATCCTTAGAGAGTCATCAGTTCATCCATATCTGCATGTGTCCTCTGAATAATGAAGCAGCATTTCAGCAATTCTGTTAATCATGCCATTAGAGACATTTTCAGAAGTGCTGCATCATGGCTGAAACCTAAAACTTTAATAATTTCCTGTGACATTTATTAGAGCATTAAATGCATTTCACAATAGTACAGTATATAGTCCTTTAAGACCAGAATGTTGATTGCATCATCATCAAGCGATCCATCCTAGCATATCCCTATTTATTTGTTAGAGTTGAATCTTTGTTTAATATCTGTACCATTCCTATTATGGTAGGTAGCCATTTTTCTCTTTGTAAAATCTCTCCTTTTAAAAGTCTCCCAAAAAATTAATTTCAAATCCACTCTTGTATGCGAAGTGTCCATAAGACCACTCATTCAGTAAGTATTTATTTAAGCCTACTTACTAGTGCTGCTACAATTAATCACAATACACATTCCAGAATCTCCCATGACTTTTTATTAGAACAGCCTCATTGTCCCTAGGATTTCCCTTTATATGTCCTATTGATCCTCTCTCTCTTTCATTACCCTATCCCCACTCCAAATGAGAACCTGAGAAAAGTCACATTGGAGCCCATTCAATAACTCTGGCCAGTGTGTTCACCTTCAATAAGGGTTTTAAATCGGCCTCATCAAATAAAAGAGGAAAAATGCAAGATTTGGAGCTCTAATCATACTTCGCAAAGGGAACCATTCTAGAGCCGGTGGTTCTAGGAGACCACGTCACTGCGCATCGGCTTTGTATGCACTGTGGATAGAGGACACATTTATTTTGAAGCGTGACATATGGGTAAAAACATTTTCTGCAGTGGTAACTAACTAGAGGAATGCCAATTGGATGCCCTTAAATGAAGGTGAGAAAACTGTATCCTTGCCTTCGCTTGTGGAACACTAGCTGACAAATTTATTCTTTCTATTAACTAAAATTACTTAATCAGGGACGAGAAGTGGCTGAGAAGATGAATGCATCACCATCAAATTCTGCTTTTGAGTCCAGGACATTATAAGACAGTCAATGGAGCATGCCTTTTTCTAAACCAAATTTCAAAATATGCAACATTTAGAGATGTAAATGTTCTTAGATGTTTCATTATCTGGATCACACAATGAAAATATTTCCAGGTTAAATTTACTTAAGTGGGCTGATAACTAATATAATAGAAAGGGAACCTTTTCACATATCTAAGCACTTTTAAAAGCAGAACAGATAAGTATATGTTTCTAAATTCATTCAAAGGTTATTTACTCTTCCCAGTCTTCAATGTATTTTAATAGTACAAATTACCAGGAAATACACAAACATTAAAAGTTTGCTTAATTAAAGGTTGTTGGGTATCAAATTATATGTTTAGTAGGTTACTGTGCTCTAACAACTCAAGAATGTTTTACTGGACTGGATGTAGCAAAGAGCATGGCACAATAATGCTACAATCAACAGAACAGTCGAGTGAACAAGTACTGTTTCAGTTGGAGACTATATTATGGTTCTAAATTCTTCCTTAATAGGTTTTTTTAATAAGTCAAAAATTAAGCAAACCAAAAGTTGGTATCTATGATCATACTCTTGTCTTAATTCTCAAGGTTAGCTTACTTTTTTATGTGTTTCATTGTTTGTCTTCTAATGACAGCTTAAATTCAGTTTTAAGTGGCTCAGCAAAACAGTGGAAATGGAGGGAGGAGTGTCCCAATTTATTAGTGCTGTACATACGGAGAAAAACCTTTTTTTCCCCTCCAGATTTAGGAAGAAACAAATTTAACCATTTCTTTCTTGGTATTCTGCTGCTACGGGTAGGTTCACTTATTCTTTTAACCGATATTGTTTGTTATACAAGTGCAGTTTCTGTTGTGTTGCACATTAATCTTTACTAGTAGAATAAACATTACAAGGTTAATATCAGTTTGGCTGAAAAAGTTATGCAGTAAAATTATTTTTAAGGGAAAGTGATGATGACTTAGTTTATTTATTCAATATTTTTCTTCCGAAACATCTCATTACTAACTTTTAAAATTATTTCACAATCTCTTTTACATGAGCCAATAAAATGTTAATGAGCTCTAGTTAAGAAGCATGAAGTCTATATGGTAAATCTAAATAACAAAAGCACTTGTAACTTGTTTTGTAAATTTCATGCCTTATTTTCCATTTTTGACACCGTAAAGTGCATTTTCTGTCAACTGTGAGTAAATTTCCCTTTTGCCTTTAATGAAAATAGTGCATTAAGTAGCCAATTGCTGCAAAATTACAAAGCAAGTTAGCTAAAGGTGGATCCTATTGGACTACCTACCACTCAAAGAAACAAGATGCATAATGGATGGAAGTCACGTGTGGCTTTAGGGAGAGCTCACCTGTGCCAGATGCATGCCACTTTCAGTAGCTGCCAAATGTGCCTTTAATTAAGAACATCTCTAATTTTTTTCTTCAGATCAAGTCAGCATTTGGGGGCGGGATCAGGGCAGGGGACTTTGGGGTGCAAATATCTGGTGAAACCCACCGGAGAAGAAGCCTTTGTTTGTCAAAGTGACATGTTTAACTTTAGTTGAAACATGTTTGTGTATATATATATGTGTGTGTATTTGCCTTTGTTTAGTAGCACGGTATTTGCTAGAATAATTGTCAAAAAAAAATTACTCTGTTAGTCTTTGATGTAAAAACAAAGTGTGATCTATACATCTAATATGGCCTTTGTACCTAACCATGTCCGTAGGTAGTCTTTGTACTCTATGTGCAGCAGTATTTGGTTTGCATTTAAAGTGAAAATAATGGCTGTTATTTTTCTGGCATTACTAAGATAAACTGAAAAATAATAAAGAAAAATGCCTTATATAGCCCACAAGTGTATTATTTTTGTATGCATTTATTTTAGAGGACAGTATTTTTAATGTCATTAGTGACTTGAATTTTAGCCCATACTTTCCACCTAGAAATAGTTTGCTCTTTACCATGGCCTTGCTTTGGAGATGCTTATTCCTGTATCACACACAATATTGTAAAAGAAGAATTTCTTTTCTGCATCAAGCCCTGTGATTGCTCTTAGTGGGAGGCCCTAGGGATGAAAATTAGTACTTTAGTGACCTTGGGTGTCACCTGGATGAAGTTTCAGAGGCCTGGGGCATTTGTATTCCAGTGAAGAAGTTTTATATCACAGTGCCTTAACAGGCAAGTTTTGTTGAGACCTGCTGGAATGTGGCAGCCTGACATTTAGCAATTCTTTCTAAGCTTGGAATGGAAAGGTACAGTTTACAGCTGCACACTGTAAACAGTTATGCAAGTGTGCAGTTACTCAGAGTGAACTATATAATGTTAAAACCAATGAATCCTTAGAGATCAAATGCCCTTGTTTAAAAACTGAAGCAAGTGAGGCCTGGATCAGTGAGACGACTTAGCCGTCTTCATGTAGCAGTTAATGACTGAGACCACTGACTCAACTTTGATGCCTGGTATTTGGAGGACTGCTTTCAGGAATGGCTAAAATTTATTAATGTTTTTCCCCCCTGGTTTAAAGACAACTCCATTTGTAGGCAGCTGTGAAATCCAAGTACATATTATTGAGCATATTGTAGGTAATCAATAACTATAGGAAAATAACATTAATGTTGCTATTAGTCAAACCCGATTCTGAATTGGCTCTTGAAACCAGGTAGTTTGTTTTTCTAATTATGTTAATCATGTTAGCTCATCACAGATTCAGTCTCCTTGAGACTTAAGTCTCAAGAGTACAGCACACAGCTGAGCCCACTTCTTTGCAGGTAGATGCATATGACTTCCAGAGGAAAGGAGGACTTTGTAGTAGAGTACAATTCCAAAAAAGCAGTTTATGCCCATTCTAATGTTTTAGGATTCTTCATTATCCTTGGAGGGGAGAAAAAAAACTACAGCCATTTTTAGAAGTTAGTTTTTCTACCTTGTGATTCATCAAGAAATGGAAGATTGTTGTGGTACAAGAATACAAAAGGCAGGTGCTTTGAAATCACACATACCTGTGTTCATATTCTGGTTATATTACTTACTAGATGTGTGTCTTTGGCAAAGTTATTTAAATAATGAGTCGCTGTTCCGCATCAATGCATGAGATTAGAACCAGATCTACTGGGGACTACCGTGAGGTTTAAAGGTACAGTAAGTCCTCAATAAAGTAATCAATAGATTGTGCAACTTTAAGCAAAGCATATAATAAAACCAACTTACCACTGATTAATTGATATAAACAATGTTATAATGAAACAACACTGAATGGACCTGCTGCAATATGTGTAAAGTCCAATACCTTTTACAATGTAGTTGCTCAATAAATGGTAACTAAAGATAAAGGGACATGTTTCCAAACTTTGCCTGCCATGAGATATCTTTTAACAGCTTAATGGTTCATCCTAAAGGCCCCATAGCTTGGTTCTTTACAGCTTCCTTTGATGTTTATTGCCACTTAAATTGGTTTTGAGTGCCCTTAGTTATAAGCACTTGATAATGGCCCATTTGACTCTCCAACTTTCAGCAAGTGTTTATTGTTTCAGGTATAGGTCTGATGTGAGGAATATAGCAATGAACAGAACAGACAATCCATATCATTGTGGGATTAATAATGTAGTGTGAAGATGTAGACAATAGGTAATAAAAATAAATAGGTACTTATACATTAGGATATTGTAACCACTATGAACAAGAACAAGGTAGCTGGGAATATAGGGGACAAGGAGGTGAAATTTAAATGAGACAGTTAGGGTCAGCCTCATGGAGAAGGTGACAGATGAGTGAAGACTTAAAGAAGGTGAAGGAATGAGACACGCAAAAGTATCTGGGGAAAGAATATGGCAAGTCCCAGGGAACAGTCAATTCAAAAGCCCACAGGCAGGAACATACTTGGTATATCTGAGGAATAGTAAGGCTACTTGCATCTGGAGAGGAATGAGTGTGAGTGAAATAGGAGATGCCATTAGCGACTTAAAGGCATCCAGGTCACTTGTGATGACTTTGGCTTCTGTCTGAGAGAAATAGAGCCCCTTAGAGGGTTTACGCAGAGGCATGACAGGATCTGGTTTACATTTTAACAAGATCACTCTGGCTGCCATATTGAGAATAGGGGTTAAGAGTGGGAATAAGAGGCTAGCCCAAAAGAAGGCAGCTTGCCCGACGTGACAGCAATGGAGGTGGTGAGAAGAGGTCGGAGACTGGACATACTTAGAAGACAGCCAGTTTGCTGACAAAATAGATCTGGGCTGTAAGAAACAGAATTGTCAAGGATGATGTTAAGGTTTGCGGCCTTGGAAGGACAAAGTTGCCGTTAATTAAGGTGGGGGATATATGGTTGAAGCAGCTTTGGGCATGTTAAGTTCAATAAATTCATTAAACATCTGCGAGATGCCAAGGAGGCAGTTGGAGATGCAAATCTGGAGTTTAGAAGAGAATTCTGGGCTGGACATAAAATTGGGAGCCACTTTCATAAAGATCCTATTTTAAAGCCAGCAGGCTGGAAGAAGAGATATCAGTGAAGGAGCACCCTGGGGCACTCTAACATTAAGAGAGGGCAGAGAAAGGAGGAGCTAGCAAATAGACCAAGAAGCAGCTGCCAAGGCAGAAAGATGGAACCAGGAGTATGTTGTGTCCTTGAGGTCTAGTAAACAAATATCAGGAGGAAGTGATCAGCATGTCAAATGCTATTTGTTAGGGAAAGGCAGATGATTGAGAACAGACCATTCTTTAAGCAAAGTGAAAGTCACTGATGAGCCATTGGGAGTGGTGTGGGCCTAGAGAGTTTAATACAGAATGGGAGGGGAGGAACTGGAGCAGTTTCTTCATTCAAGTTTTACTATAAAAGCAAGCAGAGAATAGTCAAGAGAAGATTTCTTATGCTTAAAAATATGGGAGAAAGAAGAGCATGTTTGTGTGCTGAAGGGTCATGCTCAGTTGAAAAGGAAAATGTGATAATGAAGAAAGGAGATGTATCAAGTGCTAAGTGGAAACAATCCACTTAGGCCCTGGCTGGTGTGGCTTAGTGGACTGAGTGACCGCCTGCAAACCAAGGGGTTGCTGGTTCAATTCCCAGTCAGGGCACACGCCTGGATTGCAGGCCAGGCCCCCAGTTGCGGGCATGCAGGAGACAATGGATTGATGTCATACATTGGTGTCTCTCTCCCTCTCTTTCTCCCTCCCTTCCCGCTCTCTAAATAAATAAATAAAATCTAAAAAATAACATAAAACCCCACTTAGAAACAAAGGTGGTATCCAGCCATAGTCTTTTACAGTGGATCCCCTATCTTTACATGAAGAGGTTTATATACGTGAGGAAGAAACAACATATCCCATTTTCTTGCTTAGAACTAAGGGCATTTACTGCTACTAGATCTCAAGGGAATGAGGAAAGAAGAAGGAATAAAAATCTCTTTTATAGATAACAAGTTTAGATGAATTATCAAAGATTATGCACTAAGCTCTTCAAAAACAACAATAAATTTTGGAAAACAAGTTATTTGGTTTAGGTACAAAAATCTTTGAACATCTAACAACTTTCCAAGACAATAT